CTATGGAATTGGGATTTCTGCTCATCCCCAGTCCTTTGTCCATCTAATGAGCCTATGCACCAGAGTGAAAACATGGAAGATATATTAGGGATCTCCTACTAGCTCTCCTCAGACTGAAGACGCTACTTGGATGAGTTGTGAAACATTTCAAACTAATAAGAAAGAGGTCCAGTTGCCATGACTCAACTCCCAGATAACCTCACCTGGATGACTGAGAATCTTTAGATATTTTGAATGAAAAGTTATCAGATATCAGTCCGCCGAATAAAAATGCTTGTATATGTATGTCTCAGCAGGTATATACAATTAGTTAGCACTGGTGCTATTGCTCACCAAAGACTCCATCCACATTTGTATCTTACCTATTAAAAATGTTGATCCTCCTTTTTCTAGACTTTGCAAGCTCATGATTTTGTAGTCATCACCTTTATTTACACTGGATCTTTGAGACAAAGATATCAAAGCAACTGATTCCTGCTTTATTCACCTTTTTAGGCTTGTATCTTCTGTTCAGAAAGTTGTACAGCAGAATTACAGAAAAAGACATGATTAAACTTCCAAGAGTTCAGTTCCTTAGAGATCATACACGTCTCATAGCTGCAAATTTGAAGTGAGATGTTGCCATAGAAAAGCCATGGGCAAGTTAGCATCATGCCATGCAAGAGAGGACCAGTGGGTCCAATATCTGATAATGCATCACAAATGTCCTAGGTCATTTGTACTAATCAGAGTAGTTACCCAGAGGATTGCACCTAAATTATACAAAGCACAAAGATATACTCAGAAATGTATTTTGCCAGAACTCATGTGTGTAACAAGGAAAAGAGATTTCATACTTCATCAAGGAACATTTCAATTCAGATACAAAGGCATGCCTATATTCCATGGTCCTGATGGCAGAACTGGAATCCCCTCTTTGCAGGGAGTGCTTGGAACAGATGTTTGTGAAGGATATAGCAGTAGCAAACTCTTCTTCCCAAGATTCCTTTACAGGAATAATAATCTGTATACTTGTGAGAAAAAAAGCAAAACACACACATGACTTGCTTCTCAAATATGAGGATTTCCATAATAAGCACACTTAATTGAGGGCATTGCTTAATTCAGTGGGACATGTTTCTTAGTGAGTATGCCTAGGAGAAAGCTGCCCTGTTGAAGAATTTTGCATATTTATTTTATTTAATGTATTTCTTCACCATTGCTCCCCTCAATGCTTGAGGCAATTTACAGTCACACTCTAAAAAGAATAAAAATGCAACAATTCAAACCAAAAAGAAAGCACCCCACTCTTCTAGTAAGATACATATATGGCAATTAAAAAAAGGGAAATTTCCAAAATCAAAGAGCAGCCATGACTTCCAGTTTGATGGCACAATATAGTCGTCCAAAAGCCAAACACAAGTAGACCAAACAAAGTGGTCTTCCTGGGAAAGGAAATTCTAGCAGCAGGGAATTAACAGACACAAGGCCCTGCCTTTGGCCATCACCAGTCTTACCTGTATCAGAGATGGGACACCTGAGGAACATACAATCCAACTATCACATTTTATAGTTACTTTTGTATTCTCTGTGGGTTTTTTAATGCTTCATTGTTTAAGAGAGACTGAATTTCTTCTGATTATGTTAATGTCAGTCTCCATACTGGTCACTGAACTTCTTAGGTTGAAACATTTCACTATTCATCCAAGTAGCTTCTTCAGTCTGAGTTGAGTTGGTAGGTGACCCCTGATATATCCTCCACCTTGGCTTCACTTCCCCCTAGTCTGAATAGGCTTGTTAGATGGACAAACGACTGGGGGTGAGTGAAAATCTCACTCATCAGTCTGGCAGAAAGGCTCGTCTTCCCTCCTTCTGCCAGGAGTGGCTAGTCAACCACAAGTTCTGGAGCGATTGGAAGGTAGCATAGAGCCAGCTGCAGCAGTGGATGGATGAGTAGTTAGGCCCTTGTTATGTCCACCTTTTCAGGGGTATTCATATATGAATAACCCCATCTCTAGTTGTTAACAGTCATTAACAGTGGTCTTTCTGGTGTGTGGTCCTGATCTTTCTGGAGACAGATGAAAGGGCAGCATGATAGAAAGGAGACTGATTGTATCTAAGGCCTCCACCCTGTTGACAATGTTAAAGGCCTTTAACAAGGCAATGTGTCGACCCAGCAGGACAATGGAACAGTCTGAGACCCAGAGCCAATGGAAGAACCTGGTAATTCCTTACATGCGGGTGTGTCTGAAAAGCCCAAAAGGGATTTTAGTAAACACCACATACCTGTGAACTTCAAACCCGCAAACACGCTAAGGCAGAGACTCATCCACTCAAAAGACTGGACACCAAAACACAACAGGAGCAATCTTGTGCATGCGGTCCAATGCAAACAGGATTGTTCAGAGCTCTACATTAGAGAAACCAAACATCCACTTGCGGTCCAATGCAAACAGGATTGTCCAGAGCTCTACATTAGAGAAACCAAACATCCACTAAATTAGTGTAAGCCGCCCAGAGACCTCTGGGTAGTGTGAGCGGCATATAAATTGAATAAATAATAAATAAACAGAAGAATGGCCCAGCACAGGAAAGGCAATGGCTCAGGACCTCAATCAGCAGTGTTCCTTCATTTGAAGGACAAAGGACACTCATTTGATGACCAAGATGAACTCATTTTGGACTGAGAAGATAGGTAGTTTGAGAGAGGAGTCAGGAAGGCCATACATGTGCATATGGAAAATCCCTCATTCAACAGGAGTGGAGAACTTAGATACAATCTGTCTCCAATTTATTATGCTGCCTTTTCATCTGTCCCCAGAAAGGATGAGGACCACACACCAAAAAGACCATGTTAACAACTGTTAAGGACCCATGACAATGGGTGGAGAAGGAATGCAGAAGTGGGATTTTCAATCACCCCCAGTCGTTTGTCCATCTAACAAGCCTATTCAGACCAGCGGGAAGTGAAACCAACATGGAGGACATATCAGGGGCCCTCCTACCAACAGTTCTCAGACTGAAGAGATGAGAACTTGGATGAGCGGCAAAATGTTTCAACCTAATAATGAAGTCCAGTGGCCATGACTCAATTTCTAGATAATCTCGCCTGGATGACAGAGGATCTTCACAGTCAGTTTCCATAGTTTTGATCTCATGTGAATATCAAAGGTAATAGGGAAATGGTTGATCCCACAAGGGCCTATGAACCAGAAAAGTACAAATTCACCATTTGAAGCCATTAGTACAGTAAGGACTTTTGAGTATTCTTGGTGTACAGGTGGTATCCAGAAAGAGAGTAGTTTCACTGAAGGACATAGAGGACACCAGGAATGTGGCTCACAAGTGTCAGTTCCTTTGGAGAGCAAAGCTTCAGGAACAAACAATTTCACTTCCTCCTGTACAAATAGGAATTAGCACACCAGGATGCCAGAGGTCTGAATCCACAGGGGAGGAACAGTTCCACTTCTGTCTTAACTGTGACATGTGATTACTCAGCATGGCATTTTTCCTACAAACTTTTTAAGACTTAGGTATGAAAAGGCACCTTGGCAGTAATAAAGAATTTGTGCTGTCATTGTCACCAGACAGTTGTAACAAGTTTTCTCATTTTTCTCCATAGGGCTCATACACTCATAGGAGGGATGTTAAGGGAATAGCGGAAGAAAAATAAGTTTGAGAGTGTGTGTAAAGTTAAGGCAACCTCAGGAAAAAAAAAATGCATTGCGCAGAATATTTTGAACATTACCAAAGTGAACCAGCCATTATTGGTTTTTTTAAAAAAGCTACTCATTTCACATATGAGGAAATCAAATGAGTTAAATCCCCAATCTCTACTTAAAAAAGAGGACACAGTAGTATTTTATTTCTTGATACTTGGTATCATATGACAATATACATCTCCAGATACACATTTAGCTCATTTCTGTGATATAAAATCCTAAGCAAGTGCATGTTTTTCCCAATAACAAGTAAACTCAAATTGCATAGTGGTGGTTTCAAACATCACGAGAAATGTTCTTTCATTTCCTGACAATATTCATAATACGTTTTTAAAAGCTCCAGAGTTTTTATAGAAAGATGTTCATCCGGCAACTATAATGAGGTTCCACAGCTGCATATCAACTGGTAAAAAATAGTAATAATCCCAAACTAGTCTCAAATCCAATAAAGAAAAACTTCTGAGAAGTCTGAACTAGATACTAATGACCAGTTCATGTCTGAAAGCACAAGACATTTAATGAAATCTAGAGTATGAAACACAACCGTCCAATTACTGAAGTTGAGAGAAAGAAATGAAACACGTCTGAAAAAAAGGATTTTACTTTACTTTGAGGTTTTGTTCCCCTCTGAAAAATAATTCATTCAACACACTGAAGAACTATGCCATTGCTGGACTCCAGTGGGAAGGTGAACATAAAGTGATGGAGGACAGCAGACAAGAAGGTGCTGACCCTTCCCATCTAAAAATAAACAGATTCAGGGAGCTGATTCACGCTTCACTCTAGATGCTACAAACATGCAAGATGAATAATAGCTTTCTGAAGCAGTGCCTGCAATAGCTATTGCCCTAGATTGGGGGCCAAAGATTTCTGTATTACTATACAACCTTTTTTAAAAAAAGAGACACAATGTAGATATACTCTTTTGACAAAATATTAATTGGGCATTAGAGTAAGACTGATCTCCAAAATCAGTATGTTAGAAGGACGTGATGAAGCAATACCTTCCTCTGAAGGCGCACACCCCGAAAACTGCTCAGAAAGCCACACTACCAAGAACCATGAATGAAATCGTGGAACCTTTCCGAGCCTCCCAAACTAACTCACCAAAGTTACAAACAGTTACATAAGGTTAACCAGCACCACTTCCATCCTTCACTACACATGACTTCACTCCAAGCAACAATGTGGTTCCCCCAAAGGGACCAGGATAATTTCAACCGTAATAAACCTCCTGATTGGCAAACAGCAACTCCCTCTTCACCACAGCAAATTGAAAGGGAACATTACTTGCCTTACCTTTGTTGAGAGTGCCTGTGATGAGTTTGAAGACGGTCTGGGCAAATTTAACAATCCCATGCTTACATCTTTTCGAACAGCCACTCATGGTTCACAGGAGGAAGGCAGCTCTTCAATCTCTCTCTTGAGCCCTGATAGAAAAAAGTCTCTTCCAACTTAGATGGCACAGCACTCCGCTCTGAGGCTCCAGCAGCAAGACCTCCTCTGTGCTGAGATAGATTTCTCTCCCAGCTTTCAGGAACGGTTGCAGGGGGAAGCTTCCTTGTACAGCTTGTGTTAAAGACACAGCTCACCCCAGCAGCAGGAATGCTTGGCTCCTGAGGGTAACAGCCTTACATGTATGCTATAGGTTGCCTTGTCGATTTATCAGTCCGGATGGCATTTACTAGTAAGTCAAACACACCCGGAGCTTCTGTGGAAAGCAGCAGGAAGGAGGAGTTTGCCATGCCAAGCTTTGCAGACTGTCTTACAGGGCAATGGTAATGCAGCAATTAATACCAAAGTCGGAAGGGGGGCGACTACTGCACAGAAATGATGCTGTTCAAAGTGCATCTCTCTGTTCAACATCACATCTCTGTCCAGGCATTCCCATGTTGGCTGTTTGGCTTCTTTCACAGGAGGCAAGGGAAGTGACTGGAAAACACATGTAGGAGAATCTGTGTGCTCTGTGAGTGGTACACAGTGAGGCTGATGCTTGTTTTCCCTTACTGGCATTTCGATACACACCACCAAAGCTCAGCTTCCCAAGTCCACTGCAGGCTGGGCTGTTGCTAGCTGGAGTAAAACAACTGCTTGAGGATTATGAAGTCTGAAACTGCTTCCCAGAAAAGGATCACCTTTTGTTTTGTTCCACACCAAAGATTCCCAGCTGCTGCTCATTCTTTCCCCTCTTTCTAATTGCCCCTGCTTTTTTTTTTAACTATAGTGAAATCAGGCAGCTGAAGCCTTTTCCATCATTGCAGGAAAATCATCACCTGCTGATCACTTTCTGCATGTCCGCTCCTTGTTAAAAATGCAGTGGCAGTTTTAAAAAAAGGGTGGGCGTCTAGATATAGCTATGCTTCAGCACAGCATGATGTTTGCACATAACTAAATGCCAAACAGGTTTGCCACTCATTATGATGAGCTTTAAAAATGTTTCCCCTTTCACCTACTGTCTGTGGTTTTGTTGTTAGAGATATTGGAAATATGGAGGAAAATTAATTCAGACTTCTTGGGGTAACTCTAGGAGTTTAACCCTGTGTGAATACAAGGCTGTATCCTGGTTGCCATTAGAGGCTTTGTGCTTTCAACAGGAAGATTTTTCATGGGTGAATAGCTCATATACCTGCTGAAGTTACTAAGACCTTTTTAATTCCCGCCTGGCATCTAGTTCTTTTTCAAAAAGAAGCACATCAACTCCAAACATCAGCATTTGGGTACTGATCTGTCTTTTTTTTTTTACTTCTTCCTTTGGACTCTGCATCAATGGCTATTGAGAACACAGCCAAGTAGCTAAACCTGCTTTCTAAAGAACTCTTACAGTGTCTATTCCTGTGCTTCCTGTCTAATCCAAACTACACAGTATGCTTAAATAGTTTAAAAAAAACCTGTTTGACCTAGCATGGACTTGTATGTACAGTATCTTGCATTCCAGTGTGCTTTCTTTTATGATTGGTTTTTAGAGGCCAAAACAAACATGGTCTTCCTTTGTAAGTCAGAATGCTTAGCTACACAGCTCTAAGGAAAACCAATAAAGAGGGGACAAATATGGTAACAGCCGAAAATGTGGAGTTCTCCCATCCCTTAGCACAGTGGTTCTTAACCTTGGCTTACTCAGGTGTTTTTGGACTGCAGCTCCCAGAAGCCTTCACCACCAGCTGTGCTGGCTGGGGTTTCTGGGAGTTGCAGTTCAAAAACACCTGAGTAACTGAAGGTTAAGAACCACTGCCTTAGCATTTGTTTGATCCTACAGTTAACAAGCTGCTTAACAAGCAGAGACATCGCCTTGCCAACAAAGGTCCGCATAGTCAAAGCTATGGTTTTTCCTGTAGTGATGTACGGAAGTGAGAGCTGGACCATAAAGAAAGCTGACCGCTGAAGAATTGATGCTTTTGAACTGTGGTGCTGGAGGAGACTCTTGAGAGTCCCCCTGGACTGCAAGCGGAACAAACCTATCCATTTTGAAGGAAATCAACCCTGAGTGCTCACTGGAAGGACAGATCTTGAAGCTGAGGCTCCAGTACTTTGGCCATCTCATGCGAAGAGAAAACTCTCTGGAAAAGCCCCTGATGTTGGGAAAGTGTGAGGGCAAGAGGAGGAGGCGACGACAGAGGATGAGATGGTTGGACAGTGTCATCGAAGCCACCAACATGAATTTGGCCCAGCTCCAGGAGGCAGTAGAAGACAGGTTGGCCTGGCGTGCTCTGGTCCATGGGGTCACGAAGAGTCGGGCACGACTAAACAACAACAACAACAACAACACAGTTGTCTCTGATTTGTCATTAGTGCTCTGAACAAGCTTCAGCTGCTTTGACAAGTACATGCTGAAGAGAACTCTGTACAATATTTTGAATTCTATTATGCTGCCTTGAAGAATTCTAACTCATTATTTCACTGGCTAGATGTGTGCAAAGGGGATTGTTTGCATTGAGTAAAGTACAATTGTGTGCCCATATTACACTGAAGGGTGTTTCTGTTCCTTTAAATGCTGAATGGCATGAAGCAATTTGTTAGATACATCCAAGGGGGCCAGTGACATACACAGGTAGCAAGCTGAATTCCCCTCAGTATGCTCATGGAGCTCAAGCCAAAATTGCACTGAACACACAAATTGCACAAGTATTAAGAGGCTCAGGATAAAAGATGAAAACAAAGAAAGAAATGATAAAGGGGCAACCACTCCCCCAACCCAACCCCATAATAACTCAAAGTCACAGAAATACTACCCCCCCCCAAAAAAATAATTGGCTGACTGATCAAGGATTCAGAACAGGGTTAACATAAATATGGAGATGTCGATGTAGTTGCTTCCTTCTTTCCTGCCATCTCTGTTAATCTTCATGTGCAGAGGGCCTTCCCTGTGATCTGGCAGCCTTCAAAATCAATGGGAGAGAATCCATGTCTCCCCTTGTGAAGTCTACATGGAGAGAAATGAAATGTGCAAGGAATGGAGGCCCCTCACTCTTCTCTGTTTTCCTTCCCAAAGCTCTACTCCGAATGCTTGAGGGTGGCTAGAATAGGGAAAGAGAAGGAAAACAGAATGGTGTGAATGGAACAGGAGGACAGAAACACCTGGAAATACAAAGGTTAGAGAAAACTATTTCATTCTGGATGGTTCTCTTCTCTTTCCAACAGAGAAGCTGTTATTATATGCTGTCAAGGGATGGATGAAATGACAGCCTAAACTCATGTGAATGGATCTTTAAAAACAACAACAACAACAACAACAACAACAACAACAACAACAACAACAACAGCAGCAGCAACAACAACAAGCAGCTCAGCAGCGCAGGCAAAACCTACAGATCAAGTGAGGTGGGGAGGAACCAAGACAGATTCACATTTATTTTTATCTCATGCAGTCAACAGAGAAAAAAAAATTGAATCAGACCAACCCAGCTCCATGGCATTCCCTATATTGACCTTATACGTCAATACAGTCACAGCCTCAGACATCTGCCCTAAGCAGTTAAATTTGAGCATTATGTAGTCTCCTTTTTTATTTTGCAGTTTTATTGCTGGGGATCTATGGCTGTGTGTGTGTGTGTGTGTGTTCATGTTTCTGGTGCTGAAAAAACTTGCCAAGTCTGAGACATTGCCTTATGGTCCTTGGGGGAGGAGAGACCTCATCCTGACACTGTGGGGTTAGGCATTCCCTTCTCAGGCTATAGAGCATCCTTGATGCTCTGCACATTAATTGAGGGGGGTTATTGTTGTTTTTCTTTATGCAGCAACATGCCTGTAGCCAACCCATGCAGAACATGAACACAAAGCAGAGAGAGAGAGATTGAGAGAGAGAGAGAGAGAGATCATCAGCGGGGCTTCATGGCCAAGTGAAGATTCGAAACTTTTTCTTTCCTGGATGCATTGGTTGTTGTTGCTGTTGCTGTTGCTGTTGCTGTTATTATTAACCCTCCTTTTGTATAAATATATATTTAGAATACAGTTACTGCAGCCACTTATAGGGCTCCTCGCAGTAGGTCCCAAGCTGTTGCTTTAGATTACCCCCTACAGGAAAGCAAAGGATTTTTCCTTTATTACCCCTATGAAAGGGCTGCTCTCTGTATTTATTTGAAAGCCTGTATAAAGTTTGAGGGCATGAAGTCACCATCCCAGACTCTGGAGCACTGAAGAAGGGTTTGTTTTTTTTAAAAATTGCCTTCTTAAGGTTTGAATGGAGACGAGAAACAAACTGTGCTTATTTATTTAATTTTGTCCTTAATGTGCTGTTTCACAAAAGAAGACATTATTGCTTCTTACCCAAATGTAAGCCAGAGGCCTCACCTCCAAATAAATGTTCATCAAATGACAGCTTTCTGACTTGTTCCCTGCCAGTCTATTGAGTTTGCAGAAGCAAACGGAAGTGATGGAGCTGCAAATACCTCTGTGTGTGTGTTCGTGTAATGCAGACTAGAGATGAGCATGAATCCTGGAAGGAACTGGGCCAGCTTCCTCTGCACATGTGCCCGCCAGCCAGCTGATAGGAAGGGGCATGTGCAGAGGCAGCGGGCCTGGCTCCTGGCAGGGAAGCCACTGATAGTGCCTCAGAGAATGGCGGCAGAAGTGGAAGCAAAGGCAGGAGTAAGTAGGAAGGCAATGGGGCAAATAGGCAGGGAGTGGACAGGCGGCGGAGGGCAGGAGGTGGTAGGGCCACCTGGCATGAACTGGAAAAACAAACCACTAACTGGTTCATTTTTCTGGGGCTTTGTGGAGGTTTGTGGTTAGCCACGAACCACAAATCATCAGGAACCACCAATTTCCCAGTTCATGCCCATCTCTGTTGTAGACCATTGACCACAAACTGCCCTCTCTTGCACTGTCATCTCTAAGGTATCCAGGACTCATTGTATTTGCTGTTGTCATGTAAAGAAGACAGGAAATCAGAGGTCACAGTTGCTTCTTTCTCTCCTTCTCCCTCATAGATGTCCATCAGGAAAGAACAAGCCACCTAGCCATCCTATCCCTATTTTGTTTTTTGAAGTGCATACCATTTATAGGATTTGTGCAGCAGGAATTGTAAATTATGCCCAATACAGAGAAAATTTCAAAAGTTACAGAAGCTTCCCAGCAGTTGTATAGATTTGCGATGGAAAACTTATTGATCTCTAGATGTGGTTGGGCATCAAGTGCCAAGGGGTTCCACAGGGCTTGATTATCTCCCCAATGCTGTTTAATATCTATATGAGGCCGTTGGGTGGGTCATCAGGGGCTGGGGGGCATCATGCCATCAGTGTGCTGATGACACTCAGCTCTATATCTCCTTTTCGCCAACCACAATTCTGTCCCTTCAGCCTTGTCTGGATGCCGTACTGGGATGTATGCAGGAAAATGGGCTGAGGTTGAACCCGGAAAAATGGTGGTCCTGAGGGTGGGTGGCCCCACCATCAGCAGTTTGAGAAACTCCCTCTCATTTGTGGGGGGTGACTCTCACCGTGAAGAGTGAGGTTCACAGCATGGGGATCCATCTGGACCCAGTGCTCACCATGGAAACCCAGGTGGCATCAGTGGTCCACTCCACCGACTTCCATCTTTGGCGGATTGCCCAGCTGCGTCCCTATCTTGATGTTGGGGCGCTCACCACTTTGATACATGTGCTTGTAATCTCGAGATTAGACCACTGTAATGCGCTCTACGTGGGGCTAA